AGATTTACAGGAAAAAAACAAACAAGCCCATTCAAAAATGGGCAAAGGATATGAACAGACACTTTACAAAAGAAGACATACATGAGGCCAACAAACATATGAAAAAATGCTCATCATAACTGGTCATCAGAGAAATGCAAATCAAAACTACATTGAGATACCATCTCACGCCAGTTAGAATGGCGATCATTAAAAAATCTGGAGACAACAGATGCTGGAGAGGATGTGGAGAAATAGGAACACTTTTACACTGCTGATGGGAGTGTAAATTAGTTCAACCATTGTGGAAGACAGTGTGGCGATTCCTCAAGGACCTAGAAATAGAAATTCCATTTGACCCAGCAATCCCATTACTGGATATATATCCAGAGGACTATAAATCGTTCTACTATAAGGACACATGCACACGAATGTTCATTGCAGCACTGTTTATAATAGGAAAGACCTGGAACCAACCCAAATGCCCATTGATGATAGACTGGACTGGGAAAATGTCGCACATATACACCATGGAATATTATGCAGCAATCAAAAACGATGAGTTCATGTCCTTTGTAGGGACATGGATGAATCTGGAGAACATCATTCTCAGCAAACTGACACAAGAACAGAAAACGAAATACCGCATGTTCTCACTCATAGGTTGGTGATGAACAATGAGAACACATGGACACAGGGAGGGGAGCACTATATACTGGGGTCTATTGGGGGGAATAGGGGAGGGACAGCGGTCGGGGGAGCTGGGGAGGGATAGCATGGGGAGAAATGTCAGATGTGGGTGAAGGGGAGGAAGGCAGTAAATCACACTGCCACTTGTGTACCTATGCAACTATGTTCCATGTTCTGCACATGTACCCCAAAACCTAAAATGCAATAAAAAAAAAATGAATCATAGCTGGGTGCAGTGGCTCGTGCCTGTAATCCCAGAACTTTGGGGGGACCGAGGTGGGCAGATCACAAGGTCAAGAGTTCGAGACCAGCCTGGCCAACATGGAGAAACCCAATCTCTACTAAAAATACAAAAATTAGCCAGGCATGGCAACGCATGTCTGTAATCCCAGTAACTCAGGAGGCTGAGGCAGAAGAATCACTTGTACTTGGGAAGTGGAGGTTGCAGTGAGCTGAGATCGTGCCACTGCATTCCAGCCTGGGCAACAAGAGAGATCAATAAAACTTCAAAAAGACATGAATCAAGCATGTCCCACCGACAGGAGAGTAGTAGTGAATCATACCATGTCACTCCTACATCTGATTAAAACCCTCCAATGGCTTCTTCAAGCATACAGACAAAATGCAAGTTTCTTACCAAGGCCTGTAACGTCCTGTACGGATTTCATTTACTCGCTTCTTCAGCCTCTTATCAAGCCGCTTCCTCCCTCGTTCACTGTGGGCTCCAGCTCATGGGCTTTCTTTCTATTTCTTGGCCATGCTTCCCCACTCCCCACCTTTGGCGCTGCTCTTCCCTGAGCTGGAACTCTCTTGTCCAGCCCTGAATGCTGCCTCCTGCTCACCTGCCCGGTCTCAGCTTCATGGTCATCCTCTCCAGAAGCCACTCCTGAGCATCTTCTCTAGTGGTGCTGAACTCCCAGACATGCACCACATCACAGTTTCATGCATGGTCCTATCTGGAGCTGTTCAATCTGTTTACCTGTTTATGACATGCCTCTCTCTACTAGTGAGGCCCAGTACTCAAAACAGCTTAGTGCCAGGTGCGGTGGCTCACAACTGTAACCCCAGCACTTTGGTAAGCTGAGGTGGGTGAATCACTTAAGGTCAGTTCGGGACCTGGCCAACATGGTGAAACCCGTCTCTACTAAAAACACAAAAATTAGCTGGGTGTGGTGGTGCACGCCTGCAATCCCAGCTACCCAGCAGGCTGAGGAAGGAAAACTGCTTGAACCCAGAAGGTGGAGGTTGCAGTGAGCCGAGATCGTGCCACTGCCCTCAAGGCTGGGTGACTGAGCAAGACTCCATCTCAAAAAATATATAAATATAGGTTGGGTGTGGTGGCTCATGCTTGTAATCCCAGCACTTTCAGAGGCCGAGATAGGTGGATCACGAGGTCAAGAGATCAAGACCATCCTGGCCAACGTAGTGAAACCCTCTACTAAAAACACAAAAAATGAGCTGGGCACCTGTAGTCCCAGCCACTGAGGAGGCTGAGGCAGGATCACCTGAACCTGGGAGGCAGAGGTTGCAGTGAACTGAAATCACACCATTGCACTTTTATTTATATATAAATAAAACAGCTTAGCGCAGAACATTCCATTTTAAATACTTGTTAGATGAATAAAGGAAGGGATCGGGGCCCGAGTCACAGGCCTCCAGTGTACGAGTTGGCCTGGCACAGAACTTCCCACTATGGGGGTTAGGATGTCTGTGTTACATGGTGACAAGCTGGTCTTGGTGAGTTTTCCACGAGACCCAAAGCCAGGACAGCAGTAGCAGAGGAACAGAGGAGTTCTAGAAGCTGTGTCATGAGAATGGCAGTCACCCCTGGCTGTGTCTCCGGGCCAGTCCTGTGTCCATAGCAGAACCAAGGCCATCTTGCTTTTCCTTGAGGCCTGGCCATGTGGCTGCCAAGATGGCTTCCCAGCTGTCCTCACTTCAGCATGTGCCTTTACAAAAAACCTTCATCCCCTGAGGGCTTCTGGTGACCTTAAGAAGCTAACGTGGCACCTATCCTACAGAATCAGCTAACAGGGGCAAGAACTGTAGTCAGCTCATCCCTGGTCGCCCCCACCACCCAGGATGGAAACTGTAACTTCTGAATAGCAGGTATTCAACACGATCCCAACATCAACGAAAATCCTGAGGTATTTCCCACCACATGCCCCACCCCATCCTCACCCGCAACACATCATCACAACAAGACCAGTTCACCTATCACACCAAGCACACCAGGAACCTTCAAGTGTGCTCCCAAATCTTAGATCAAGTATTTGGCCTGGCATTCTTTGCTCATTTAAGAGACTATTCTTTTTGAGAAAAGGTCTCACTCCGTCACTCAGGCTGGAATGCAGTAAGGTAATCTCAGCTTGTTGCTACCTCCGCCTTCCAGGTTCAAGTGATTCTTGTGCTTCAGCCTCCCAAGTAGTTGGGACTACAGGCATATGCCACCACACTCAGCTAATTATTTGTATTTTTAGTAGAGACATGGTTTTGCCATGTTGGCCAGGCTGGTCTTAAACGCCTGACCTCAAGTGATCCGACCACCTCAAGTGCTGGGATTACAGGTGTGAGCCACCGCGCCTGGCTTGGACTCCATTCTTTTTTTTTTTTTTGAGACAAGAGTTTCGCTCAGCTGGCCAGGCTGGAGTGCAGTGACACGATCTTGGCAACCTCTGCCTCCCGGGTTCAAGCGATTCTCCCATCTCGCCTCCCTGTTAGCTGGGATTACAGGCACCCACCATCACACCCAGCTAATTTTTGTATTTTTAGTACAGACAGGGTTTCACCATGTTGGCCAGGCTGGTCTTGAACTCCTGACCTCAAGTGATCCACATGCCTCAGCCTCCCGAAGTGTTAGGATTACAGGCGGGAGCCACTGTGCCCGGCTCTTATTCTTTTCTATTGGGTTTTCTTTTCTTTATTAACCCAGTAATGTTTCAACCTTGGTTTGGCAACTTCATTGGGAAAGGGAAGAAAGAACAGAGCCCTCTGAAGCAAGCGCAGGTGAGTAGAGGCCAGTGCCTTCGATGGCAGGCAGGGTTGTGGTCTCAACAATGCTCTTGGGTAGACAGAGAAAATGAAGAAAGGCAGAGGCCCACAATAGATGGACACAAGCTTTGGATGTCTCCACTAACTGGATGTGGAGGGAGCAGAGGTGTTAATAAAAATGCCAAGGTTCTCAGAAAAGGGAACAGTAATGACAGAAGCAGAAATTCACAGGCATTAAGGAAAGAATTCTTCCCAACTAGACCCTAGTTCGATAAAGTGACGATGGTTTTTCCTCAGGAAGTCAGTCATGTCCAAGTAGGACTCCACTGAGAGGTGAGGGCTGCAGACAGATGGGAGAAACGGTAACAACCATCCCAACTGTGGGTACTTGTGAAGAAATCTAGTGTTTAGTGTCTTTCGTTGTAGGTTTTCTTTTCCTTTCTTTCTTTTTCTGTTTTGAGACAGAAAGTTTTGCTCTGTTGCCCAGGCTGGAGTACAATGGTGCCATCTCAGCTCACTGCAACCTCTGCCTCCTGGGTTCAAGTGATTCTCCTGCCTCTGCCTCCTCAGTAGCTGGGACTACAGGTGCACACTACCACACCCAGCTAATTTTTGTTTTGTTTTAAATTTTTGTATTTTTAGTAGAGACGGGGTGTCACCATGTTGGCCAGGCTGGTCTCAAACTCCTGACCTCAAGTGATCCATCCGCCTCAGCCTCACCAAGTGCTGGGATTCAGGCATGAGCCACCGCACCGGGCCTAGTGCCAGTGTCTTTAACACTCTGGTTTAGGATGCAGTTCAGTGTCTTCCCACTGGAGAAGTGAGTCCCTCATGTACCCGCAGTAAGCAGCAAGTGCAGAACCCTCCACAGAGGTTTGATGAGCATACCTCCCACCTGGGAAACAGCTTACTCAGGAAGCTGCTCTCCTCCCAGAGGACCAAATAAAAGGGGACTTGTTGAAACATACATCTAGGCTTCACGCCTTCCTGGTTGCGTGCTGAAGCCAGCTGCGCAGAGCACAGTGAGACAGGGAAGCTGCCCTTCTGGAGCTGGTTGCTGAAGGATGGTGCAAGCAGCCACTGGCCGCAGTGCAGCCAGGCCAAAGCACACAGCTCAGCAACCCTCTCCATGGCCAGGAGTGGAGGAAACAGGTGCCCGTGCATCTCATTCTGGACGGCTCAGCCCTGTGCTAACAACCCGAATGTAAAGTAAAAAAAAAAAAAAAAAAATCGACGGCTGTTTCCAGATTTTAACCTTGAGCCCAATCCCTAAAAAATCTCAGGCCCCTAAAAACATTCCAAGACAATCACATGATGCGTATAAACTGTGGACTACTTACCAACACATACATAATTCTTCTCATAGAATGAAAGCCAACTTTGAAGTGTCAGCATCTCAGAGAATGACAAGTCAGATATATCATCCACAAGGCCTGCTTCAGAGTAGTCCCCGGTCACAAATGCTCTGGATGCATCTCGACCTGTAGGAGAAAACTTTCCATCAGATCCAGCTGTAAATGACTGACACTACACAAACTCAAGAATGTGGTTTTTTTCTCTTTTTTGAGACAGTGTCTCACTCTGTCACCCAGACTGAAGTGCAGTGGCACAATCTTGGCTCACTGCAACCTTGGCCTCCTGGGTTCAAGTGATTCTCCTGCCTCAGCCTCCCCAGCAGCTGGGATTACAAGCTCCTGCCACCACACCCAGCTAAATTTTTTTTTTTTTTTTTTTTTTTTTTTTTTGAGATGGACTCTCACTGTTACCCAGGCTGGAGTGCGGTGTTGCAATCTTGGCTCACTGCAATTTCTGCCTCCTGAGTTCAAGCAATTCTCTGCCTCAGCCTCTGAGTAGCTGGGATTACAGGTGCCGCCACCACGTTGGCTAATTTTCCTATTTTTAGTAAATATGGGGTTTCACCATTTTGGCCTAGCTGGTCTTGAACTCCTGACCTCGTGACCCACCTGCCTCGGCCTCCCAAAGTGCTGGATTACAGGCGTGAGCCACTGTACCTGGCCTTGTTGGTTTTTTTCTTTTCCCCAGTAGAGACAGGGTTTCACCATGGTGGCCAGGCTGTTCCTGAACTCAGGCAATCTACTCAGCTCAGCCTCCCAAAGTGCTGGGATTACACGTATGAGCCACTGCACCCAGCAAGAATGTTATCTGAGGAATATCTCTTGACAACCCCTACTTCCTATCCCAGGGAAAGGGGGCCCCCAACCCCTCCTCTGTGGCAGATGCTCCTGGACCTTGGACACACATCTCTTTGGCATTGGTCACATTCATTTACCTTCAGCAACATTTAACACAGCCGACCACCTCCCTTGGCTTCCATGACACATCTCATTTTCCTCCTCTCTCCAGCCTCTCATTGTCTACCAGCCTTAGCGGTCCATTACCGTCCACACCCTCTCACCTGACAATCTTATCCACACCTGTGCTTCAAAGTCCACCTACAGGCAAAGACAGCCACATCTGCATCTTTAGCTCAGATGTCTCCCAAGGCCCACACCTGTATATCCAATACCACTTAGTGTCTTACAGACATCACAAGATCAAAATGTTCACACTCTGGGCATGGAGGCTCATGCTCATACTCCCAGCTTCTCAAGAGGCTGAGTAAGGACTGCTTAACCACAGGGGTTTGAGCTATGACCATGCCTCTGCACTTCAGCCTGGGTGACGGGATGAGGCCCCATCTCTCTCAAAAAAAAAAAGGTGGGGGGAGGGTTTGGGTATGGTGGCTATCTCTAATCCCACCACTTCCCAGCACTTTCGGAGTCCAAGGTGGGCAGATTACCTGAGGTCAGAGGTTCAAGACCAGCCTGTCCAACATGGCAAAACACTGTCTCTACTAAAAATACAAAAATTACCCAGACATGGTGGCTGTAATCTCAGCTATTCCGGAGGCTGAGGCAGGAGAATCGCCTGAACCTGGTAGGCGGAGTTTGCAGTGAGCCATGATAGCACTATTGCACTCCAGCCTGAGCAGCAGAGCAAGATCCATCTCAAAAAAAAAAAAGGGCTGGGTGCAGTCGCTCACACCTGAAATCCCGACACTTTGGAAGGCCCCGGCGGGTGGATCACTTTGGCTCAGGAGTTCAAGACCAGCCTGGCCAACATGGCGCAAACCCATCTCTACAAATACAAAAATGAGCTGGACGTGGTGGTGTGCACCTATGCTCCATCCCAGCTACTTGAGAGGCTGAAGTAGGAGTATCGTTTGACCTGAGAGGCGGAGGTCATGCCACTGCACACCAGCCCAGGCAACAGAGACAGACCCTGTCTCAAAACAAAAACGACAACAACAAACCCCACTGAACTGTATACTTTTTTTTTTTTTTAGTGATTGTGGGTGTGTGTGTGTGGGGGGGGGTCTCTCCATGTTGGTCAGGCTGATCTCGAACTCCTGACCTCAGATGATCCGCCCACCTCGTCCTCCCAAAGTGCTGGGACTACAGGCATGAGCCACTGTGCCCAGCCAGAATTGTATACTTTAAAAGGGCTTTACATCATGTGAATTGCATCTCAATGAAAAACAAAATATTGAATGAACGAATGAATAAGTGAACATAACTACTTCCCAACTAGCCTGTGTGCGCAGTGGGAAGCATGTTACAGACATCTTGGATTCCACAGCCCGTGACACAAGGTAAGCAGTGGTAAATAAAGATGGGGAATGAATACCAGGAGCACAGGAACTCAGCAGACAGCAGAGCACAGTGAAAAATAAAAAGCACTCCAGAAATCGAAGGTTTTATGCCCACACTTGTGCATACATCCAACGCAGTGCAACAAGGAGTGCCTTCAAAAACACCTTGATTCCAGTCCCAGCTCTGCTTCTAACTCACTGGGCAGCCCTGGGTAAGTGCCTTCCCTTGCTGGACTATCTCAGGGGCTTAGCGAGATCAGCTGAACTTCATTCCTTTTCTGTCAACCCTTCCATTTCTGAAGTATTCCCTAGAAAGAGGGAAGTGGCTTGTATTTCAGTCCTAGAGGCAGCTTCCCAATACCCCTAAGATAATAAGGGGAAAATACTTATTTAATATCATCCTAGTAACTGATCTTGGGCTTGCCCTGCATTTTTTTGTCCTTTTTAAATTTGGGAGGTAATCAGTCCCCCTGGCTGGCCAGACAATACCTGTATAAAAGCACTAGGCTGGTGGTCCGAGTCCATGTTCTGTCAGCACTCAGGGGTGAGGGCCTTAGGCAAATCACATCCTTTAATACCCTTAGCTGTACAACAGGGACACCAAGCACAAACTTACTTTGACAAATGTTCTTTGAGGTCTAACATATGCACAGCTTTGTTCTACGTATTAAGGACTGTAAAGATGACTGGAGCCCTCACCTGTGCCTTAACCTGGCTCTTTTCTAAGAAAGACAAACAGGTGCATCTGTACTAGAAGCAAGAATGACTCAGACCAAATGTACTGTTATGACGGGCCATAAAGAAATGAAGTACTGATACGTGCTGACAAACCATGGATGAACCGTGAAAACACTATGCTAAGGGGTGGGGGTAAGAAAGATTACTTTGGATCCGGGCACAATGAAGAGATGGGTGGAATCAGTAAGGAAACGGTGAGGGTAGGGGCGGAATCTCATTTATCTTTGCTCTGAGAGCACCCACAGAAGTCTGGGACAAAGCCCGTATCCTCGGGCTTCCGACGGTGGGTAATGGGTAACAAGAGACAGAAGACACGTTTCTCCAACAGTCACGCAGGGCGGTGGTGAAAGACAGAGCTGACCATAGTCCCGACTGAGCCACAGAGACTAGAAGGATGGTGCAGCTCAGTTCCGCCTTGCGCATTTGATGGATGAGGGGTGGGGGGCAAGATACATGAATAATGAACGAACGACGCGCAGGTGGCTACTGGCTCGCGCCGGCTGAGGAAAAGGCCTAAGTAGCGTCGCTGATACCTGCGAAGCCGCTATAGTGGGACCCAGGCTCGTAGTGCCTCCGGCCGGAGGACACATCGTAGACACGGCCGAGCAACGCCAAGTAGAGGCCTGGGTCCCCAGGGCCGCCGCGGTAGCGGGACAGCTCCTCCGGTATGAAAAGGCGAAAGCCAGCGCGGGGACTCCACCAGCCCGTAAGCCGTGCTGCCATCACCGCTGCTGCGGCCACGGCCAGGGCCAGCAAAATCCCGCGGCCTCCGAGCCTCAGCATTTCAACAACCGCACCCGCAGTGCACTTCCGAAGTTGCCGCCTCCCGGTCCAAAACCAAGATGGCGGAAACGCCGACCGTGACGTCATCGGCGCGCTCCTTCTCTCTCGGTCTCTCTTTGTTCCTCTGTCTCTAGCGAAAAACTCACTGACTCCGACTTTTTCCTCGTACTTCTTTTTTCTTTGAAACAGATTTTTCGCTTTTGTCGCCCACGCTAGATAGAGTACAGTGGCCCAATCTCGGCTCACTGCAACCTCCTGCTGGGATTGCAGGCACCCGCCACCAAGCCCGCGTAGTTTTTTTGTATTTAGTAGAGACAGGGTTTCACCACGTTGGTCAGGCTGGTCTGGAACTCCCGACCTCTGGTGGCCCACCGCCTCCCAAAGGGCTGGGATTACGGTCGTGAGCCACGGCGTCCGGCCCTTGTACTTTTTGGCTTGCAGGTTGTCTGCCGAAACAAAGATGGCGGCAGCGGAGGCTGCGGAATGACGTAGACGTTGAGACAGGCTCGTCCTCTGGGAAATCCAGGTTGCACTCTTTGCTGCCGCCTAGCTGTCGCGAGCTGCTAGAGACCGTCTACCTGCGTGATGGCGTCTTTGCGACAGCGGTCCTCGCTTCACGGCCAGGAAGCCGGAAGCCGCAGCCGCAGCCGCAGCCGCGGTCTCCTGTCAGTCCCCGCCCGCCGGCTGCTGTCGGAGGTTGACAGGTCGAGGCGGGGAGGCGGCAGCGGCTGCAGAGCCGGGTGCCCAAGACGGAGACCCCATGGGGAACGCTCCGAGTCACAGCAGTGAAGACGAAGCGGCAGCCGCCGGGGCCGAGGGCTGGGGCCCCCACCAGGACTGGGCCACGGTCTCGGGCACGACCCCCAGCCCGGGCCTCGCGGCTCCGGCGCTACCACCCGCCGCGACGCTGCTGGAGCCGGCCAGACTACGAGAGGCGGCCGCTGCATTGCTGCCCACACCCCCCTGCGAGTCGCTGGTGTCGAGGCACCGCGGCGCGTTGTTTCGCTGGCTGGAAGAGCGGCTGGGGCGCGGCGAAGAGTCTGTCACTCTGGAGCAGTTCCGGGAGCTGCTGGAGGCTCGCGGAGCCGGCGGCTCTGGCGAGCAGTTCGAGGAGGTCAGGGCGGGCTGGCGACGGCGGGGGCGGGGCAGGGCGATCGCCCCCAGGGGACTGAAGGAAGTGGTGGGCGTTTGCTTTTGAGAGGACAGGCGGGGACCCTTATGAGGTGCATCCAGCTTTTCAGCGGGCGTTTGGTTGGTCTTGAGCCTGTTAGAGGTGTGGAAAGCCCGGATTAGGCCGTCCTTGTTCAGAAGAGCTGGACAAACCTAGATATATCTGTGTATGTTGTAATATACAGACATATATTTGTGCAGCTGACTGACGCTGCTCTCTGGAGATTTTTTATCCGGTTCTAGAACAGTTTGAAAAGAGATGTAAGGACAAGAGGAGTGGCGGTGAAAACCGTCTTGTTATATTGGCCTGTCCAGGTTTTTACACAGCATCTTCCGAATTCATTGTGGGCACCAAATAAAATGTGAAAGACAGTACATGCTGGAAAGGCTCACCTTCTAAAACCCATCCTCCTCACGCAATAACTAGCTTTTCCAAAATACACATTGGTTTGTAGATCTTTAAAGAACCATATATTAGACTCATTTAAACTTTCATGGGCAAATACCACGTTTCCTGTGAATACTTGTAATTATGTAGTTTTTCATATAATCACTAAGATCATGTCTGCTAAATCATCATGAGAGCAAATTGATTTGGTAGCAAAATATTTTCTTTGGCAGGCGTCTTGGGAATTACCTTTACTTGGGCACTCAGAGTCAAGAAGACTGATCCAAGATTGCCCAGTGAATCAGTAAAACTTAGACTATCACCTAGAGCTCTTGCTTTTTTTTTTTTTTTCATGCAACTTTTATCTTAAATTCAGGTGTACATGTGCAGGATTTGTATTTACATATATGTTACATAGGGAAACGTGTGTGCCATGGTCGTTTACTACACACATTACCCCATCACCCAGGTATTAAGCCCAGCATCCATTAGCTCTTCTTCCTGATGCTCTCTCTTCCCCCACCCTGCCCTATTTCTTGTTTATAATGTCTCACTCCCTCCTTCCTGGGATCCTATTTCTTTTAACTCCACAGTATGACAAAAGTGCTGCATTTGTGAAAATGAGTTAGGCATGTAGAATCTTCAGTGGCCATGAAGGGTGAGGACATAGAACAGTAAATCAGCAGGAACTTGTAATGCGTTTTTGGTTTTTTTGTTTTTTTTGACACAGAGTCTCTCTCTTGCCTAGGCTGGAGTGCCATGGTGCGATCTCCACTCATTGCAATCTCCATCTCCCAAGATCAAGCAATTCTCCTGCCTCAGCTTGTAAAGTAGCTGGGACTACAGGCGCACACCACCACACCTGGCTAATTTTTGTATTTTTTTTTTTTTAGTAGAGACGGGGTTTCACCATATTGGTCAGGTTGGTCTCGTACTCCTGACCTCAGGTGATCTGCCTGCCTTGGCCTCCCAAAGTGCTGGGATTACAGGTGGGAGCCACCACACCTGGCTTGTAATGCCTTTAAAAGGTTCTGTTCACTTTAAAATCAGGGGCTTTTAAAATATTTTAAGAATGTCTTCCTGTACATGGCCAGAATTCAGATAACGTAGTTTGTGTGTTTCTTATGTTTTCCTTAAAAAAAAAAAAAAGTACCTTTAAGGCATCCCAGCCCTGAAAAATAATAGTCATGGCCAGACATAGTGGCTCACACCTATAATCCCAACACTTTGAGAGGCCAAGGCGAATGGATCATCTAAGGTTAGGAGTTCGAGACCAGCCTGGCCAATGTAGTGAAACCCCATCTCTAACAAAAATTGGCTGGTCATGGTGGCAGGTGCCTGTAATCCCATCTACTTGGGAGACTGAGGCAGGAGAATGGCTTGAACCTGGGAGGCAGAGGCTGCAGTGAGCTGAGATTGTGCCATTGTACTCCAGCCTAGTGCCAGAACAAGACTCTGTCTCAAAAAAAAAGTCGGCCGGGCCGGTGGCTCATACCTTTGTAATCCCAGGACTGGGAGGCCGAGGTGGAAGGATTGTGAGGTCAGGAGTTTGTGACCAGCCTGACCAACATGGTGAACTCTGTCTCTACTAAAAATATAAAAATTAGACCGGCACGGTGGCTCACACCTATAATCCCAGCACTTTGGGAGGCTGAAGCAGGCGGATCACGAGGTCAGGAGATCGAGACCATCTTGGCCAACATGGTAAAACCCCATCTCTACTAAAATACAAAAAAATTAGCTGGGTACACCTGTAGTCCCAGATATTTGGGAGGCTGAGGCAGGGGAATTGCTTGAACCCGGGAGGCTGAGGTTGCAGTGAACTGAGATGGCGCCACTGCACTCTAGCCTGGTGACAGAGCAAAACTCCATCTCAAAAAAAAAAAAATTAGCTGGGCATGGTGGTATATGCCTGTAATCCCAGCAACTCAGGAGGCTGAGGCAGGAGAATCTCCTGAACCTGGTAAGCAGAGGTTGTAGTGAGCTGAGATTGTGCCATTGCACTCCAGCCTGGGTGACAAAGCAAGACTTCATTTCAAAAAAAAAGTCATATTAGTGAAAGATCTACTTTTCAAAAAATTTTCTAAGAATACACATAGCACCTTCCCTTTAGTATCTATGTGTATATGAGAACATGAAGTGGTAGTGGAAAGAACCACGCAGATTTGTTCAAAAAGTTGGCACTTTGCAGATTTGCACAAAGGCAAAGGCAGAGAAACACAGTTTACACTGTGAGAGTATCTGACAGAAATAGAACTTGATGTAGAGTTCATAGGAGTCACTTCATATAAGGTCAAGACATACTCGAGGTGTGGTCCAGAACACTAAAGGGTTGTGGCATTATTGTTCACTGAGCAAATGTTTATTGGGCGTATATTGAGTGCCGCTCACTTCGATGACAGTGAACAAAGCAGGTACTTGCTATTAAAGAGTATGTAGTGTGGTGGAAGAGACAGGTATTAACCCAGTAATTATAAGATGTGGTGAGTGTTAACCGAGGGAGGGCATAAGGAATAAATAGCAAGTGTATTTAACCTCATCTAGGGCTCAAGCAAGACTTACCTGAGAAAGTAACATTTCAGCCCACAGGTGAATGGTGAAAGCAGACAAGGAACAGGAGGTAGTAAGTGTTTCAGGCAGAGGAAATTGTATCTACAAAGTCCAAAGTCCAGAGAATCTTGAAGTCTGGTATGGTTTTTCAGAGATAGACAAAACTATTTCAAGGAACTGAAAACCTAATACACCAGTGATTTTTTGTTTGTTTATTTGTTTGTTTTGAGACAGAGTGTCACTCTGTCACCAGGCTGGAGTGCAGTGTTGTGATCTCAGCTCACTGCAACCTCCAACTCCCAGGTTCAAGCAATTCTCCTGCCTCAGCCTCCTAAGTAACCGGGATTACAGGTGGGCCACCGTGCCGGGATAATTTTTGTATTTTTAGTAGAGTTAGGGTTTCACCATGTTGGCCAGGCTGGTCTTGCTCTCTTGACTTTGTGATCTGCCCACCTCAGCCTCCCAGAAGTGCTGGGATTACAGGCAGGAGCCACCACGCACACCCGGCTTATATTGCTACATTTTAATGCAAGATGAAGAGTTTGTGAAATAATTAAATGTCTTTATAGCAGCAACTAAAATGAGAAGTTGTTTCCTTCATTCATTTTTATAAGAGCTAACGTGGTAAACAGATAATCGTTGGTGTGCGTGATTTCTTAGAATGCTAAGAGTTTCCGAGTGTTCCGTGTTTGTTCTCTGGCTTCCTAATTTACACTATCGTTCGCATCCACACAGCGGTCTTGCTTTCACGTCCTGTGAACTCAGTTACTTAGGAGGTGTTATAAAGTAGTTCTTGCCAGGCGTGGTGGCTCACGCCTGTAATCCAAGCACTTTGGAGACCAAGGCGGGCGGATCACCTGAGTTCAGGAGTTCAAGACCAGCCTGCCCAATGTGGTGAAACCCCGTCTTTAAAAAAAAAAAAAAGTTCTTGGAGTTGGATCATGGACCAAAGTCTGAAATATTATCGTTTTATAGTACAACACACCTTTTCTCATCGTAGGTGTGGTCCAGGGAGAAGGGACTCTGTAGTTAGCTCACAGGGAGCGGTATTTAATTAACTCCCGTATACAGGGAAAATAGAATTAAAATTAAGTTCTTATTTCACAGCAGAGATTAGAGATTAGATATTTAATGCTCTAAGAGTACGCTTCTAGAAAATCTATGGCAGAAAAAACATGCTGAGCACAGAATGATAACAGATGACCTTAAAGTGAAATTTCATGTGAATAGGTCCTATTTTATGAATTTGCTACATTACCTTTGGTGCCTATTTTGTGAAATTCATGGGATTATAAGCTGTAACAGAAGGGCCTTTTCAATTCATCCCTATTCATCCTCTAAGCACAGTGCTGGGTGGTTGCCGGTGCACAGTGTG